GAGTGTGTGTGTGTGAGTGTGAGTGTGAGTGTGAGTGTGTGTGTGTGTGTGTGAAGGGGACTACCCCTTCACCATAGCCTGGCGAATGAAGGAAAGGAAAGAGTGAGAGTGAGTATCCATTTTGGCTCAAGTGCTTGCACCTCTTTTACACATTGCTCAAAGCATCCCGCCGAGGCAGCCCTTCGTTGCTAGCAAGACCTCTGAGGGGGATCCGGCCATCCCCACGAGCAAATCCTCTTGAACAGAGCCCTGCTCGCTTCGGCGACAGGTGGCCTCCTCGTACCGGGGGCACATACTATTATTTGACGGTGGAACACCTGGACAACCGCAGACAACAGCAAAACGTCGAGGATTTGCCAAAAAATAGAGGGGCAGCTGCAGAACGAGCCGTTCATTCCAAAGAGCTAGCGGGGAGGAGACACTGAACAAGGAGGTAGATGGGAGAGCGACTACCACGGGGGCAAGGCCGTGATAATGGCAAAATCATGGAGCTCAGAATCTTCCTTGGTGAAGCGGGTGGGCAGCCTTAGAGAGAAGGTGGAAAGAGATCATTACGGACGTTGCATGGGCGGATGTCCGCATACTGAGGGCGCAGTAATATGTTTGCATGCTGAGTGAGAAATGCAGCTACCAGTGAACGTCTCGACTGGAGTGCCAAACCCATTAAACCCATTAATGGGATGCGGAACGTCCCCATCAATCCGCTTTCCACTCCTTGGGGTCGTTTGGCCTTGTATTCGCCAGTGTCAGGGAGTTCGCATCCGTGACAGTGACAGTTGACCCATCTTTATATCTTGTAGGTCACTCTTTCGCCAGTCAACCTCGACATTTGTACCGGCGACTTATTCGCCAATTTGATCCTCGGATCAAGCATTTCTCTTCGCCGCACAATCACACGCCTGATCAACTTCAACTCGGGCTCCTTCACTGCCCCAACGAGAACCATCTGATTCCTTCATTCTTTGTGCCGCTGCAATCAAGGCACCGATCTGAAACAGATGGACTGTCGAGCTGTCATGTATGTCGGACACTCCACGCAACTCAAGGGATCTTAGGTCACGCTCCATTTCCGACAACACCTCAGGAAGACAACTGGCTGCCAGTCGTGCCGCACCCGCCACGGCACACGGCATGACAGTCGGCGTCAAATACACCAGTGTTGCTGACGCACAATTCAGATGGGATTTCCAGTCGGGTCAATCAAGGCCAAGAATCCCAAGAATCATTCGCCATCACAATCCAGAAGCCCTGAGACAGCAGTCTTGCCACAATCGACCTTGCACATCCAGTGTCTTCCCAGACAAGCTTCGCAGTGAAGGGGCGCTCTCGCTCAACGGCGAAACAGGGTAGTCCGGAGCAAACCCTTCCGGACAACAGTTCGCGCAAGCTCAATCAACTGTCAAACAGTATCCAGGACTTGTCTTCCAGCTTGCAAGCGAAACTCTACCACGCTATCGCCAAAACCCATTGGATCAAGCTGTGGAGCATTCCTTGGGGCGACGGTGGCACTCCAGCACTCAGCGCACCAATCAAGAGGCATGCTCCGACAAACGGATTCGTCATCAGTCCCTGCTTTGCGCCTCGAGCAGTCCTGACAGGTTTGGTGGCATTCTGATCCTGAGTCTCGACGGTCACTGCTGCTACATTCTGTGGCGGTTCATACTGGCGGGGTCCTGAGGGACATTACCCTGAGGTCCGGACGCAGCAGTGGAACTCTGCGGTTCCACATTCCACCAATCTCCCGTGTTCCAGGGCCAGTCATCGGACCAACAACTCCAGTCGTCATCAGACCAAGACCAGTCACCAGACCAATCATCAAGCGAACCGATCCATTCTTGACTACAGTCGTGGTCATCCCAAGACGACCAATCATCATAGTACCCGTCACCGTCTTGATTCCGTTCCTGATTCCATTCACCTTGCTGATGGTTTTCCTGCTGACCTTCCTTTTCGGCCACTGCTGACATTCTACCGTTTCCTCCTTTCGCAGTCTTTGCCTCAGTGGTTTGGGTCACCACGTAAAAAACATCCTTGTCCCTTGCCTTTTCCTTTGACTCCTCTGCCTTTTCCTTGGCCCTTTCCTTTGCCTCTGCGCTTGTGCATTCCTTTACCTTTGTAGGCTTTTCCTTTTCATTTGCACATTCCTGTGCCTTTCATTCCATTTCCTTTCCATCCTGTCTTTCTTTTCATCATTGCTCCTATATCCATGTCGGCTTGTCCTTGGTGGTCAGTCCTGCACTCGGCGAAGTCAGGTGTCTGCCCTTCATGTAGCAGAAAACAGTCTCAAGCGCCGCAGTGAACATCGTGAACTGCAATGGGCCAATCGCCTTCGGCATGAGCAACGTGATCAGAAGATCATGGTCCAGTGTGGTCTACCTCTGTTCTTCAAGATCATGAAACCACTCAAGTCACTCTCAAGATGATGATTGCTGAGCGTAAAGCCAATGATCTCATTCGAGAAATTCTTGGCTCGAAGTCTCTCGGGCAGTGAAAACTGCTCGTGCAATCGGCGCCAAATCTCAAAAGCACTATCTGTGTCCTCAATTCGAGCCATCGCCCTTGCGGCGCCATCAGTTGTTTCGCGAACAGTGACTGTGGGTTATTCGAAGACTTAGTCTGTTGCACATCAGCTGCTCCGCACAGGTCATCAGTGATCACCACATTCGATCCTTCCACATCATTCATCATCAGCTTGGCAATCGGCTTGTACAGTCGGACATAATCCTGTCACTCCAAAGTCCATTCTCTCACTCCCTGGCTTTGGAGCCGAAGCTCCGCTACCATGCAAAAGTCAAAGGCACAATTCACACAATCACAACCAACCGAGATCACTGACTTTCCGCGATGATACACTCACGCAAACTTTCCTTTGTGCGATCAAGCCAGTCTCCATCCAGTTTTAAGCCAATGTCATTCGGCATAAAAGCATTCGTTACTGCATCATGTTCGTGAAGTTCATTGGGTGCATTCTAGGGATTTTCATATTTAGTAGAGGGAGGGAGCGAACGAGCGACAAAGGGGATGATTGCCAGGTTCATGCCCCATAGAACCACGGAATGAAAAAAGTTGGAACTTGGCGAATCTTGAAAACGCTAAACATAAAACAGCGACCTGCATGGACAACACTCACGAAATGCATCAGCCTTGCACTGTCCATGTCGATTGCATGCCTGTTGGGCCAGGTTGCGAGTGCTGCGGGATTCAGGCCTTTCCAAGGCCGCTGGCATATGCCTGAATGCATTATTTCTGGTGTGGACGGGGAATGAGGTTATTTTCATGGGCCAAACAGGTTCAAGCTCCGACTGCGAAACAGAGCCATGTCGTTCTTGGCCACCCATATCACAGTTTCTATGGCGTGTACGTAATTGTTTGTCAATCACACACAATCATAACACGTTGCACACTGCCAGGAAGCAATTGACCTCGTCAGCAAGCTGATGCGCACCTCAGCAGTGTACTTGGGTGGTTTTTTGACACCTTCGTTCTAGCAAGGATTCGGTAGAAAGTTTTCATGTTTTCAGTAGCAGCGATCTCCACCAACGCGAAGACGGGACTCAGAGAAAAAGAAGAGAGAGCGCTCAGAGCAAGCATGCAATCAAACTCGGGGGTGGGGGCAAGAAGTGGGCAAGTATAAGGACAAGGAAAGGTTTAACGGTTTAACCATGTCCAGCGATTGTTTCAGAACATAGAATCGCAATTCCAGACATGGCTGATAAATCGGAATGAAAATTCAATCCTGCTTGTCGCCAAGGCTCGACATCCTTAGGACAAGAATCGACAAACAAGACGCAGAAAGTACCAATTCTTACTGTCTTCCGAATGTCCACTTGAGGGCAAGAGAATCCACTTTCTCGGGGAAGGAACAAGGAGCCGTGGACAAAGAAACATAGTTTGTTCCGCCTGGGTTGATCTTAAGATCCCGATTGGTATATGCAGGCATGAGACAATACCGCTAAACTTGAGCATAAGTGGCGAGTTCATGCCAGCTTGACCATGCAAGGCCACGACCGGCACTTCAGGCTCACTGCGCGAGAGGCTCTTCAACATCCCTTCTTCACATTGCACAGCGAGCGAGCTGCTCGTCATCAGAGTCCACTGCTAGTGGACAGGTGGTTTCAAAGAGATCAGCCGAGTCTGTAGATTACGAGGAAGGGTCGCTAGAGCTGCGACGAGACAGATAGCTCTGCAAGTCACCAGACAAAGGAGGCTGCGGAGGTATTGTGCAAACACAACCCTGAGTACGCAGAGCTGGATCGGCAGGCACAGGACGGAAGGTTCAAGATTCTCTCGGGATGTGACATGCGGGACTTCCTAATTGACGGCCGATACCGATCGTATATACTCAATATAGACCTCCTGTTTCAGCAACTCGAGGCCGAAGCGAGTAACTTTGCCCGTGCACGCGAGACCATGCAGCCAGGGTTGCCTCAGAAACTAAGCAGTCCAGGAGATTGTGGACCAGCTCGTGGGACACTTCACAGCCTTTGCTGCACAGCCTGTCCTCGTCCGTGCTGCCCTACTCCTGCAGTTCGGGCAGCACTGGTTTCAGCAAGAGTGGTACTCGTCGTGTGCATGTTCCCGTCAGGATGGCACACGTCACCGCCTACAGCTTCGAGCACGCGCGGCCACAGCGCGTGGCCTTCTCCAAGCTTGACAGGCACGGGCCGACGCAGGGCACAGCCCACAGCCCCAGGAAACCCAGCAGCCAGAGGTCGGTCAGCGGCGGGCTCTCCATGGAAGATTTGGAAGCCTTCTATGAAGACAGCGGCTCCTAGGATTGAGCTTGGAGCGGCTCTAGGTTTCGGGTGCTTTTGCAGAACTCGAGTTGCCACCGAACGTGTTGTTCCGAGGCATGCCGATGCCAGAGATGCTGGAAAGTGCATTCAGCGGTGTGGATGTGGACGACGACGGCCTGGTTCTGTGGTAAGACCTTCGTGGAAAATTGTGCACGACTAGGGTGCTGAGTGCTGCACCACTACTGACGCAGCTGGTTTGTTGTCTTCAACCTTCAACCCGCCTGGTGTTGACTGACAATCCGCTGCGCCCCGCGGCATAACAAGCAAGGTCATAGAGTCATACCTGTATCAAGAACTTACGTTCAACGGCAGTCTTTTGCCTTCACCGTGCCTTGCTTTCAAGGTTTTCTTGAAGGCCTGAATAAGATTGCCCGGTTTCGTTGCCGGACCCTGTCATCGCAACAGCCTTCGCCTTCGTGGCAGTGGTCCTGACATGGGTCCACCGTGCAGGCTACATCACCTACATCGAGTTCCTCTCAGCCACGCTGCCGCGCTGGGCTCGCAGCGACCGGACATTCTGTCGCCGCTCCCCGGCCCTGAAGCAAGATCGCAGGATGTTCCTAGCATTAGGCGAGGGCTCGACCGTCACTTGCTTCATGTCTGGCTGAGCTGATATGCAGAAATAGCAAGATGTTCGGGACCCGTGCAATTCTCCTCGGTCACGGTGCTAGCCCGTCTACGGCCCCTCCATACCAACGGAATTCTGCAAGGCGTGTTCGAGATCCTGGACCGGAACTGTGATGGGATAATTGATGCCGCTGATCTGGCACAGGTTGCTCGTCTCTGCCCGCTTTGCGGCCTTTGCATTGCAGTTAAACTTCACGGTATGAGAATCCAGCCAGTCACAGTGACACCAAAAAGATAGAAATTACATACTACTAAGTACTGTGAACATTGTCAAGACGCTTGAGCATAGCATCAGAGATCTTGCAAACCGACTGATCTTTGGATCAGGCCTTCTTCCCTGACAAGGACGAGAAAGGCCCCTGCCTGAGCGTCAAAGCTGGCTTTCGGCGAGCCGCCCTGCACTCAGGCTCTGGCATTTGCGCTGAAAGCTTGGCGGAAATCTGTGACGGGCAGCTGACCTGGAAGCGTTTCCTGGAACTTATGCAGCAGGCCTGAGCTGCCCAACAGTGGGAGTCCTGGATGTGATCATGAACTCTTGAGGACAACGAAGGGTCGATGGACCTGGGTGAGCAGCGCTAATATTTCATGCTCTTCTCCCGCATCTTCTGATTCTTGGCGGTCTGGCGAGTCCGGATCAAGCCGTCCTCTAGCCACGACTGGAGTTAGTTGACACCATCTGCAGACCCGGTTGGGACCCAAAGCAGGTACAGGGTGCCGTGCCGAAAGCCAGTCAGACACTGTAAGTTTGCACCTTCAAGGTTGGCACCCTGTAAGCAGCTGGGAGTTGCACCTTCTACCTTCGCGAGTGTTTCTGTAAAGGCTCATGTTCATTTGCACAAGAAGTTGTCTGGCTTCCACGCAGGTTGCTTACTGGGACGAGTTCATGAGAAGACCCGACGTTCGCAAAGGCAGGCACTGCATCGGGCGCGGAAGCCGAGTCTGTTTTGCAAGCTGCGAAGAAGCAACGCATAAGACTGGCCATGCTTCTCGAGCTGGCCGAACATACTTGCAAACCCGTGAGGTTGTCAAACAGCACTGCAACTGGGGATCAATCCACTTGCAGCCTCAGCGATCGTGCTTTGTCAAAAAGCATATTTCAATGTTGTGGCAGCTCCGTTTTTCTCACTCCCTTATAGCAACGTTTTTTTCGTCGTTTCCTGGTACTTGTACGGGGACGACCAAAACATGGAATCCATACCTTTTCAATAGCTGGGTGGGGTTCGTCACCCCAGTATTCCCGTAGCACCAGAAGAGCAGTAGTAGTAGTAGTAGT